GGCCGAGGGGTCTGCCAGGAACGCCTTCACCTGCAAAGTGGGGAAAAAGGTAAACGCAGAGGAAACAAACTGAGGCTTTGCAATTGTAAAGTCAACTCCTGCAGCTTGCCAGAAGCCAAGCCAACGTGTTCATTGCTGCTGTGCGTGAAGAGTCAGCGACACGTCAGCTACACCCACGCCCAGCAGCCCCAGGAGGAGGGGAAGCTGGGCACCACTCGCACACAACACATGGGCATTCGCCCCTCCTCAGGACAGGCCCTTTGCACACGGTGGGGGGGTCCAGGTCCTTTCAAACACACCAGTTGTTCCTGAGAAAGCGCCCGGCTGCATTTTCACAGCCCTCTGAGCAGACCGGACTCAGCCGTTACCTTTTCAGCCAGCGGGAAGGTGTAGTCAGTCTCCACGGCCACAGCGAGGACCCGCTTGTACCCGTTGATGATGGAGTGGGGCACAGAAGCGATGGTCGGGTACCCGATCTGCAGGCAGACGCTGGCAACATTACGAACACCCTGCGAGAAGAGAGACTCATGTTTCTGCGCTCTGAGAAACAACCTGGAGTAGAAACCACGGCAGACGACGGCACTCCTACACTGCCAACAGAACGGGGGGTGTTTCTGCACTCTGAGAAACAACCTGGACTAAAAACCAACCACGGCAGACGATGGCACTCCTACACTGCCAACAGAACGGGGGACAGCGCGCAGTGCACACCGGTGAAATCAGACAGGGATTAAAGGGCTTTAAATGCTCTCTGAGGTGGCTTCACAGGAAAAAGCGTAGAGAAGGTAACCCTTGACAGACTGCTTCCACCAGGCACTGGGAGAGCTCCTGGTTCTGCAGGACCCCGCAGAACATCCCGGAGACGGCACTTCGCTCTGGGGCAGGGCTGCTGGCTGCCACAGCAGCGGGGCAGCAGAGCTGGAACTCAACGGACACGGGCTGCGGCATGCACTCACCTCCAGGAACCGCTTGTGCAAGGTCTCCTCGGTGATGTCCAGCACTTCAGGGTTGTAGATGCTGCCATTGTCAAAGACCTGCTGGATCACCAGCCCGAAGGAGAAGGGGGAGATGTTCAGCATGTTCAGCAAGGTGGCTTCACTGGCTCCCACTTTGTCTCCAGTCTTGATGAGCTGCACATCGCTCTGAGGACACGAGGGAAAAAGGAGTGAATATGCGCAAAGAAATTCCTGCACAACAGCGCAACAGGACACAAACGCACGTGTCCAACGGCAAGAGATGGAACTGAAGGAATAAATGACCACAACAGGCTCCGAGTTCAGCTCCACAAGTAAAGAAAGCCCTAGACCATGCAAGCCAGCGCACCTCAGCTAAGAGAGAGGCAGCGCCCTTCCTGCCCTACCTGCAGGCAGCTCGCCTGCGAGTTCCACCAGCAGAGCCTTCCCACCCAGCTGAGATCTGGTGGGGAACGTAAATCCCCCCACACTGCACACCCGAGCCAAGCCAGACATTCTCCTTCAAGCTCCAAGTGCAGCAGTCAGGCTGCTAATGCAATATCCCAGCACAAATGGGAGAGCTGATCCCTATGCCTCCTGTCCCTCTGCAGAAACACTCAGAGCACAGGCAGCTCCCTCAGCTGCCACAATCAGGGCTCTCCGAGTCAAGGAAGCGCTTCAACAGCAGCAGCACACTGCTCACGCACCAGAATTTCAATGGTCCCTCTGGAAATCTTCGTGGTGATGCCCAAGGCCTGGAAGAAGGAGGTCTTCTCAGGTCCAAGACCAGTGTTCTGGGCTGGCACAGTCACATCACAAGGAGCAATAGCGCCGGCACGGGCAGCTGCTGGCACCTGGAGAAAGGGAAAATGAGAATCTGGAAGAATGCTCACGCCCCAGATCTCATGGGATGGCATCAGCTCCCTCCTGGAGCGTTCCTCCAGGATGGACATCACCCATGCACACACAGGTGAGACAACACAAGCAGTTCAGCTAAGGCTGCAGAGGCCTAGTTCCCAACCACTGTAGACTCCTAATACTCGGGTATCCCCCGTACAGCTTCAGATTTATTTTTAATTCCGTATCAGCCAGCCCAGAGACACAGTGAGGACTGGTCTCCCCTACCTTGTTAGCCAGCAGCATGTCCCGGATCTCAGTCAGATCCTCCTTGGTGAAGACAAAGCCCACGTTCCCGCGGATGTGAGGCAGCAGCCTGAAGGGAAGAAAACAGCCTTCAGTTCTGCTTCTCAGAGGACATCTCCTCCTCCCAGACAGAGGCTCCAGGACTACACTCAGGCAGCATTACCCACTTTTCTAAGGCAGGGTTATTCTCCAGATGCCCACGAATAGCTTTGCGCATCATCGTATTCTTCCCCATCAGCACAACGGCCTTCCCACGCAGGGACATGCGGATTTGCTGCATCTGCTTGGATCCCACGTTGTCTGCTCCCACAATGAAACATTTTGGGTAATCATCCAGGAGTTGCTATAGCAAGAAAAACACTGTAACTACACAAAGAAACCTGGACCTCTGCACAGAGCAGCATTAAAACCTCAACGTGTTAAAATATTAAAAAAATCCATCAGAAGGGTGTGAGCACTCAGCTCAAGCTGGGGCTGGGCACACCACAAGGCTGCACCTGTCCCGTCAGACCCCCAGGCAGGTTATCTCCGTGCCTGCCGCAGCGAATTCTCACAGGAGCCTTGAAAACCGCCTGATCTGGACTGGACTGTCCTGTTCTCCTCCTATTGCCGCGCAGCCGATCCTTTAACAGACCACCCGCAGCATCCCGGGCCCTTTCTGAGCACCCCCCACACGCCA